TCAAAATAAATATTTCTTTGAATCTATATCAAAGAAACCATTATTGTCTGGGTGTCCGTTTTCTAATTTTTAGGTCACAAGGCAGTTTGTAAGAAGAAGCTCGTTTTGTGATGTGTGCTGTCCATGTGTTAACAAACTTAAGTTGTTGACAATTTAAATAGTTCTCGATCACATTTATGTCCAATCCTGGTGTGCAATTTTTTTTTTGAGACCATTAGACAGACGCTGGGAAATACGTGTCAAATCCCTTTTAGTAACAGTCGCGACTCAATCACGACGTTACGGCAATCAGGTTCTTGGTACGGGACCAGACGACGAGACGCACCTCTGTAGCCGCGGGTCAGCGTCCTTTGGACGTGCCCCCGAATCTGCAAGCACCGCCCCCCCCTTCCCCCCTCGCAACTACCTTGCACCTGTCAGAGGCGGCGTGCACCTGCTGCAGCGACGCACAACCCTGAGCTAGAAAACTAAACACGTGCAAACTAGAGCAAACTTCCTGAAAAAAAAAAAACAACGTTAGTGTCTACGCGAACAAAGACAGCACGTGATACAATATTCATGTTGTTTGTTGTTTTTTTACAAATTATGGCAAAATTTCACTAACCGCAAGTCCGCTTTTCACAGCGCTTCGTGACCTACCCCCACGTCCGCTCCTCGGAAGGAAATTCTACGTCAATCGTAGGAATATGCCTCTGTTTTAGGTTAACTTGGGCGTGTCAGTAACTGCTTTTTGAACGGCAAAAGCAGCTCTGCCTTGCAACTATGCCTACATTATACGAGGTTTTCGAATAACCTTAAAAAGCAATGCCACTGGCGTTGGCATGAACACGGTTCCCATTTTCGACATCTACTGTACCAATGCCATGTCTCAAAGTCATCGATGCAAGATACAGTAACGACAGATGCACCCCCCCCCCCTTCTTCCCTTACCCCCACCCGAAATCCTCTCCTCTATTTGTTTACCGGGGCGGGAACCGAATTGGCGTCGTCGGCGCCGGCGCAGACTTCGGCCTGCCAGGCCTGGCCCTGCCAGCCGCCTGAGCTTGCCCTAATTTCTGCCGTTTCGGAACAAATCGGCCGTAAGTGGGAGCCACATAACCAGGGGTGGGGGAGGGGGGGGGTATTGGCATGTTCATTTGGAACAACAAAATAAGAGAGTGAGTGAGAGCGATAGAGAGAAGGAAAGAGACAGGGAGAGAGAGAGAGAGAAAGTGCGGGGGTAGGGGAGGGGGGAGGGGACATATCTCACAATAGGAGCGAGGTCTCTGTTTCGCTCGTACTTCAGCTTGTCGAAGCCCAGGCTGGGCCGTGGGGAGCGTGCACATACACAGTGGCTGTGCTGTAGGTCCGCACGGAGTGCCGCGTCCCGCCCCGGCGGCAGCCTGGCGACGACGCGATGGTGGACATGATGATGCCGGGCTTTGCCAGGAATAGACTCCGCAAGCAGCCTCTCCTCACTCCCTGGCCACATTGTGTGAGCTATTATTTCAAGCAACCCCTCCCCGCCGTGACCCCCGTGTGTGTGTACTTGCAGCAGCGTCTCTCTCTCTCTCTCTCCCGACTCTCCCGCTGGAGAGCGCCCGGCGCGGTCAGGGTAGGCCGCGCGCTCCACACGCCAGTCACGCGCTTGCCTACCCGCCACGCGCCGGGCGCTCGGCTCCAGCGGGAGTCAGTCGCTCCGCTCTCCAGACGGGATCGGGTTTCTGAGCAAGGCACCGCCGCGAGGCAGCAAATCCCAGCGGTCGAGTGAGACGTGAGTGTGCGGTAGAGGCTGAGCGAGACCGACGTGACGGAAGACGAGGGGCAGCAGGGCCGGTGGCGCCGGGGGAGACCTGGTGACCCAGAGGACCGCGCCGTGCCGCACAGCGAGGTGGGCGCGGGGCGCCGCCGCCGCGGGCCAGGGGGGGAGGCCGGCGGCCGGGCTGGGCCGGGCATTCACGGCCGGGGCTGTACCGGCGAATGGAGGTGCGAAAAGAGGTGAGAATACTGCAGGCGGGAAGGGGCGGGGGAGGGGAAGGGAGTGGAGTGGATCGTGGGTGGAGACGGGGAGAGAAGAGAGAAAGAGAGAGGGGGAAAGGGGACGCTCGCGCTCGCGCCGCGAGCCGCCTCAAAAATATCCCCCTTTCCTGTGTTAACGTGCCGCCGCCGTCGGCAGTGGGCGAGTCGTCGTGCCCGCCGCGCCCGCCTGCCACACCCCTCCTGCCCCCCC